CTCATCATCACAAGACGCCTGCCATCGCAAACAACCAAACGCAACAGGATTGTGGGACCTTCTTGAAATTGTTTACAAGTTACTCAGCCTTTTATCATCTGTGGATGAGTTGTACAGTTTGCGTATTGAAGCGGAGAGAAGTTGGGTTGTCTGTCTTTGTGAGAACGACACTGAGTCAGGTTGATTTCTCTGTAAGAGGAGAAAAGGGCACGAAGTTGGCTAGGACTGCGTTCGTCGAGACTTGTGCCGTTTGCAAGCGACCCAAAACAACGTTGGATTGTTTGTGAGAATGCCTGTGAGAAGGAGAGACATTGAGCATTGAGAGACAGGCAGAAAGCTTGCCAGGATCTGCCTACATACAAAGACTATTGTGAGGACACAAACATATCACCAAACTGTGAGACTACCTTGAAAGTTGTCTGACCAAGAGAGAAGGCCTCTCCATCCTTTGCTTCGGATATCAAGAAGCCGGGTTGATTGCCCCCTTGGGGAGATGGTGACTGTGACCCTTGTGGATCAGAACGATGCCCCATTGACATAGGGGAACCTGGTCCGGAGAGCCGCAGACATCCTTTGTTGGATGTGTCTGAAGGTGTCATAGCAACCTTTGGAGCTACTTCCACCATGGCGGCCGAAGTGCGACTGAAGAAGCTGGAGGAGCTGGTCCTGGACCGGAGATCGGTGGGCTTGGAGACTTTGGTGGACCTCCTACTCTGTGTCCATCATGAGCTGAGCACCTCTCCGTTGGCCCAGGAGAAGTACATCAGGGAGTTCTTGCAGTGGGGTGAGTCACCTTTGCCTTGTGTACATCCTAGAGTTGGAAGGGTTTCCAAGAGCTATTCCCCTTTCTGCTAGGCAGGAAGACCTATCAAAGCCCTCCTGACAGATGGCCATCCAGCTTCTGTTGAATCACAGAATACTAGCATTGGAGGAGACTTCAAGGGCTATGCAACCCAACCCCTTGGGGTCTCTTCCAATGCTAGTATTCAGCTAGTATTCAGCCATATCAAAGCCCTCCAGACAGATGGCCATCCAGCCTCTGCTGAATCACAGAATACTAGCATTGGAGGAGACTTCAAGGGCTATGCAGTCCAACCCCTTCAGCCAAGTATTCATAGAATCATAGAATCATAGAATCAAAGAGTTGGAAGAGACCTCATGGGCCATCCAGTCCAACCCCATTCTGCCAAGAAGCAGGAATATTGCATTCAAATCACCCCTGACAGATGGCCATCCAGCCTCCATTTAAAAGCTTCCAAAAAGGAGCCTCCACCACACTCCGGGGCAGAGAGTTCCACTGCTGAACGGCTCTCACAGTCAGGAAGTTCTTCCTCATGTTCAGATGGAATCTCCTCTCTTGTAGTTTGAAGCCATTGTTCCGCGTCCTAGTCTCCAGAGAAGCAGCTAGTATTCAGCCATATCAAAGCCCTCCCGACAGATGGCCATCCAGCCTCTGCTGAATCACAGAATACTAGCATTGGAGGAGACCCAAAGGGCTATGCAGTCCAACCCCTTGGGGTCTCTTCCAATGCTAGTATTCAGCCAACTATTCAGCTAGTATTGAGCCATATCAAAGCCCTCCTGACAGATGGCCATCCAGCCTCTGCTGAATCACAGAATACTAGCATTGGAGGAGACCCAAAGGGCTATGCAGTCCAACCCCTTGGGGTCTCTTCCAATGCTAGTATTCAGCCAAGTATTCAGCTAGTATTGAGCCATATCAAAGCCCTCCTGACAGATGGTCATCCAGCCTCTGTTGAATCACAGAATACTAGCATTGGAAGAGACCCAAAGGGCTATGCAACCCAACCCCTTGGGGTCTCTTCCAATGCTAGTATTCAGCCAGGAAGACACAGGGCCCTTCCACACAGCTATATAACCCAGAATATCTTTGAACTGGGTTATCTGAGTACACTGCCATATAATCTAGTTCAATGTGGATTTTATACAGTTGTGTGGAAGGAGCCACAATCAAAGCCCTCCTGACAGATGGCCATCCAGACTCCAAGAAAAAGCCTTTCACGAAGCGGTCACTTGTCTGTGTGGCCCCTTCTGCACTGCCGTATAAAATCCAGATTATATGCCTTGAACTGGATTATAGCGCAGTGCAGACACAGATAATCCAGTTCAAATGTGATCTCCTTTGATAATCTGGATTATATGGCCACGTAGAAGGAGTCTGAGATCTATGGGTACCTTTTCCTTGAAGTGGCCATTTGCCCATGAAGTGCAATGCTAGAAATTTGTAATATTGACAGCTAAAAGAAAGCAATTTCTATCCTTCTAGTTTTTTGGTCTGTTTTGTTGTTGTCAAAGGCTTTCATGGCCGGAATCATTGGGTTGCTGTGAAGTTTCCGGGCTGTCTGACTATGTTCCAGAAGCAGTCTCTCCTGATATTTCACCCCCATCTATGGCAGGCATCCTCAGAGGTTGACATCCTCAGGTCCCTTCCTTTTCCGGGCTGTATGGCTATGTTCCAGAAGCATTCTCTCCTGACATTTGGCCCCATCTATGACAGGCATCATCAGAGGTTGAAAGCTTAAGGTCCCTTCCTTTTCCAGGCTGTCTGGCTATGTTCCAGAAGCATTCTCTCCTGACATTTTGCCCACATCTATGGCAGGCATCGTCAGAGGTTGACATCCTCAGGTCCCTTCCTTTTCCGGGCTGTCTGGCTATGTTCCAGAAGCATTCTCTCCTGACATTTTGCCCACATCTATGACAGACATTGTCAGAGGTTGACAACCTCAGGTCCCTTCTTTTTCTGGGTTGTCTGGCTATGTTCTGGAAGCATTCTCTCCTGACATTTTGCCCACATCTATGACAGGCATCGTCAGAGATTGACAGCCTCAAGTCCCTTCCTTTTCTGGGCTGTCTGGCTATGTTCCAGAAGCATTCTCTCCTGACATTTCACCCTCATCTATGGCAGGCATCTTCAGAGGTTGACAGCCTCAGGCCCTTTCCTTTGTCTACTTGAGGCAGGTGTGAATGTTGCAATTGGCCACCTTGATTAGCGCTGAATGGCCTTGCAGCTTCAAAGCCTGGCTGATTGTGTTCATTTTCATGGTTTCACAGGATTGCTGTGAATTTTGAGAAGCATTCTCTCCTGATGTTTCACCTACATCTATGGGAGGCATCCTAAGAAGTTGAGAGAATGAGGATCCCTCAACCTCTGAGGTTGCCTGCTGTAGATGTGGGCAAAATGTCAGGAGAGAATGCTTCCAGAAAATGGCCAGACAGCCCAGAAAACTCACAGCAACCTATTTTGTTGTTGTTTATGTACACTATGCATAAGCACTGAGTATTACATTATATTAGCTTCTGTGAGTATATGTGCAATTTACTCTGGGCGCATCCACACTGGAGAATGAATGCAGTTTGATACCGCTTTAACTGCCGTGGCTCAATGCTATGGAATCTTGGGAGCTGTCATTTGACCCTTATCTGCCAGAGTTTTGGTGCCTCCCCAAACTACATCTCCCAGGATTCCCATGGCAGTTGAAGTGGTGCCAATCTGCATTAATTCTCCAGTGTAGATGCACCATGCAATCTGGTCTTTCCAAGGCCTGGGGTTCTCTTTTCCCTGCTGCAAAGCTTGTATTTTAGTGACAGGTGTGGGATCTTCTCCAAAATACTATTCTTTTCCCTTTGAATCAATTCTCCTTTTGTCTTCAAATGTCTAGCATTGCGCAGAGAGTGCAACGCTGGAAACTGTTCACGCCGGAGAGCTCTTTCTATTTGTTCAGTCCACATTCCTGTGGTCATTCCGCCTGCCCCTTTGCTTTGGTTCACTAAGCTGCCTTTCTAAATGCTCAACCAAAGCTTTAAAAGTACCGTAGTGCCAGGAAATTTGGGGACAGAAGGCATATTTCATTCTGGTTTGCAAGGAAACGTGCCTTAGGGTCGCCATAACTCGGAAATGACGCAGAGGCACACAACAGCAATAACAAATCCCAGTTCTGCCCCTCTTTTTGCTATACTCATCTTTATATAATACTAGCTGCCCCCTGCCACGCGTTGCTGTGGCCCACGTGGGGGGGGGGGTTGTGTGGGAGATTTGGCCCAATTCTATCGTTGGTGGGGTTCAGAATACTCTGTGATTGTAAGTGAACTATAAATCCCAGCAACTACAACTCCCAAATTTCAAGATTCTATTTTCCCCAAACTCCACCAGTGTTCACATTTGGGCATATTGAGTATTCGTGTAGAGTTTGGTCCAGATCCATCATTGTTTGAGTCCACAGTGCTCTCTGGATGTAGGTGAACTACAACTCCAAAACCAAAGGGCACTGCCCACCAAACCCTTCCAGTATTTTCTGTTGGTCATGGGAGAACTGTGCGCCAAGTTTGTTTCACTTCCATCGTTGGTGGGGTTCAGAATGCTCTTTGATTGTAGGCGAACTATAAATCCCAGCAACTACAACTCCCAAATGTCAAGATTCTATTTTCCCCAAACTCCACCAGTGTTCACATTTGGGCATATTGAGTATTGTGTAGAGTTTGGTCCAGATCCATCATTGTTTGAGTCCACAGTGATCTCTGGATGTAGGTGAACTACAACTCCAAAACCAAAGGACACTGCCCACCAAACCCTTCCAGTATTTTCTGTTGGTCATGAGAGAACTGTGTGCCAAGTTTGGTTCAATTCCATCATTGGTGGGGTTCAGAATGCTCTTTGATTGTAGGTTAACTATAAATCCCAGTCTCCCCACCCTTCTACCTCTATCCATTCATCCATCCATCCATCCATCCATCCTTGCATTCATCCTTCCATCCATCCTTCCATTCATCCTTCCATCCATTCTTCCATCCATCCATCCGTCCTTCCATCTATCTATCTATCTGTCTGTCTGTCTGTCTGTCTGTCCGTCCGTCCGTCCGTCCACCTATCCATCCATCCACCTATCCATCCATCCACCTATCCATCTATCCATCTATCTATCTATCCATTCTATCCATCTATCCATCTATCCATCTATCCATCTATCTATCCATCTATCCATCTATCCATCTATCTATCTATCCATCTATCTATCTATCCATCTATCTATCTATCCATCTATCTATCCATCTATCTATCCATCCATCCATCCATCCATCCATCCATCCATCCATCCATCCATCCATCCATCCATCTATCTATCTATCTATCCATTCTATCTATCCATCTATCTATCCATCTATCTATCCATCTATCTATCCATCTATCCATCCATCTATCCATCCATCCATCCATCCATCCATCCATCCATCCATCCATCCATCCCTATCCTTCTATTTATCCCCATGTATCTCTCGCTCCTTATCTATTTACCCCTTTCCCTACATCTCTCTATCTCTACCTCTTTCTCTGATTATCTGTCTGTCCTCATCCTTATACAGTGTTCCTTCACTTATCATGAGGGATCTCTCACTTATCACAGAGGTTTCATTCCAGGACCACCCCCGATAAGTGAAAATCCGTGAAGTAGGTACACCATATTCATTTTAATATTATTTATACATTATTTTATGTATTTTATATATTACTAGCTGTACCCACCACGCATTGCTGTGGCCAACCTTCCCTCCCTCTTTCTCTACTCCTTTCTTTCTCTCCTTCCTTCCTTCCTTCCTTCCTTCCTTCCTTCCTTCCTTCCTTCCTTCCCTTTTTTCTTTCATTCTCTCTTTCCTTCCTTCCTCTTCCCCCTTTCTCTTCCCTTCCCCTTTCTCCGCTTTCTTCCTTCTCTACCTATTCTTGGACTGCAACTCCCAGCAGTCCTCCTATCTATCTATCTATCTATCTAT